AGCGGCTGCTCAGCTCGGGCTGGACTTGAACTGCTGTTGCTCAGAGCTCAAACTCTTGAGCGAGCTCTTAACCAACTGAGCCACTCAGCCGGCCCTTGTCTCTTCTTTCTTAATGGTGGTTTGTTACTTCTGTGAGAGAGATGAGTTCCAAACTTACATACCACCTAGTATGTCAACAGGCATGAAAATAACAATAAATTGGACTATGTGGAACAGGCATGGGGTTTCTTACTCCTGAATTTACTTCCTAGAGAGTGAGATTTGAAAAATAAAGAGGTAAAAATTTTTTTCTCTTATAAAAGTACCAAATAAACACATAAGTAGTAGAGGTAAATCTATGTCCTTACCTCTTTACTTTTCTTCGTCTAACTGGCAATTAAGAAACATGATTCATGAGAATCTATATAAATGTTTTCAGAATTTGTTACAGTAATCTCTCACCAACTAATGATGATTACATTCCTAAAAAGTACTATATTAGATAAAACTTTGAAGTTCAAGGAATAAAACAATAAAATTGCCAATAAAACTGAAAAGAATTATCTCCCTCTGTTTTTCACGAGGTCACATTCTCAAAGCTATGATCTGCTGTGGAGGATGGGGTTTATTTTATATTAGCCACACTTCTTTTTGTAAAGTTCTTAATGCAGTCCTTTCTGTATCGGTATTTAACCCTCCGTCAGGCGCAACTGATCTCACAGATCCATTGCACACACAGATGCTGCTATGAAATACGTCTTTACTGTACTAAGTCACAAACAGAACTGACAATAGGTTACGGTAGAGAGGGAAATACGGAAGCGATGAGTCACGATACTTAAGTTAACTGTTAGATATTTGAAAATTTGTGTGTAATGAATCTGTGAGATAAGCTGTGCCCGATGTAGGGTTAATGCTTGCTTGCTTATTCATTTCTTTATTTATTTAGCTGAGCCATCCTGCCTCCTGTTGCAGCTCAACGGCAGCTCAGCTAAGGCAGGAAATCGAACCGGCAACCCTGTTGCTCAGAGCTTGCACTCTTGAGTGAGCTCTTAACCAACTGAGCCACTCTGCTAGCTAGGGTTAACGCTTTCTTGAATTTGCTTTCTCACTGGTAGCTTTTTTGCAAGCCTTGGCAACATTTTTAGTAGCCATCTGGTCTTTCAGGCCTGGTCTCCTGCTGTTATCCTCCACTCGTCATATATGGAGAGGGCAAAGAATAGCAGAACTCCTCTCTTTACCATCTGATTGTAACATTGGGGTAGGGGAGGAGAGGCCAATAGGGATAAATGGTGTTAAGTTCTTTTTGAGATCACAGATTTTAAAATTTAGGCACACAAATATGAAACCACATAGTGACAAAACTATGACTGGCAAAATGATAATTGTGACAAGAGATGACTTCGCAAATCTTGTTAGAAATCATTATAACTTCTTAACATTTCAAAGTATACTCTCAAACCTAGAGTTCAAATTTAGCATTCCTTTGTTGGATTCTAAAAGGGGAGAAAATTCAAATAAAAGTTGTCCCACGCTAAGGTTGGAACAATCAAATCATAGAATCATGGAATTATGAAGTTGGTAGAGCTATCCCAATTTCAGAGGAGGAAACCCAGAAAGGATCCCTAACATGTGACAGGTCACAGAGCTGGGCTTCTCATTTATAATTTAGAGCTTCTCAAATACTGTACTCAATCATCTACATCTTGCATGTTTCAAACTTCTTTGACAGAGGCTGTGTTCATTCTTCACTTACCTGACACTCTGTACCTGGCAACTCTTTTCTGTGTTGGGTGCAGGAACAGAGTTTGGGGATGATCATTAAAATAGAGTATCATGGACCCAACCTTCCTATGGAATGAAGAGGAAATGTTGTCCCCCTGCAGAGATTTTCTCTTGTCGGCCTATGAGTGTGAGTTCATGAGTTCACGTGCTGGAAGCCCTTATAATTCACTCAACTGAAGAAATACATTTGTTTATTCACTCTCTCCCCACCCAGCCCCCAAAACAATCACTGTATTTCACAGCTTTAGACACTATTCACTCAAACTGTTTCCCTGTTTATATCCTAGAGTCCCAAAGCAAGGGTGGGGAAAAGCTCTGAATGCTAGCTTATGAGGACAACATGGTAATAGACTATGGAAAGCTAGTTATTTAGCATAAGTAGGATTGAATGATGGACGGACTGGAATGTGGACGGTGGAACACTGTCCAGCCATAGGTTTGGGAATAGCTAGACAGAATTCTAGTGATACTTTTAGTAGGTTAAGAATCATTAGCATCTGTTGAGGTTTTTGCAAAACAATGTAGGGGAAAAGTCACTGTTAGGGTGTCAACCTCTTTGTCTCCTTTCCTTTACTATCCCCTTTTCTGATTCCTCATTTAGTTGAGAACTCAGAGATATAAAGAAATGGGTGCGGGGCATGCCTCTGGCGCTGGGTTTAATCAGGCATTCAAAGCTCTCAGAATGGTTCTGGTATTTAAAGTTAATAAACAGCAGACTAGAAAGTGGAAAGGTTTGTGAAACTCTATCACGTATGCTATTGTGAAGGTGAATGGGACTTTGAGCACTGCCAACTTAGTATACTTGATTTGTTTCCTGCTCTTCTATAACTCAAGTTACAGGCTTTGCTTTTTTTCCCTTTTCTTTCTTATCCCTTTGTTTTGTTTTTCTGGTTCCAGAAACACTGACAACAAAAAGGTAGGGAAAGTGATTTTAATGTTAGCTTCTAGCGCACCACTGCTGGTCCTCTCTCTAAGGTGAAAGAAGGTGGTGTAGTAGATATTTAATTCTTAAACATCTAAAACCAGCAAGTTTTGCTCCGGCCTTTACCTTTGGAGGCCAGGCGCTCAGTCTCCGAACAGGACGTAGCATTTGTTTTGTTCAGTAAAACTCCCTCAATTTTATGAGCATTTCTATTAGTTGTATATAGAAAATATTTTCAAAAATGGGTTGTGCTCAAAAGAATTAAATTTTATATGAGGAACTGCAGCTCTGATGTTACAACAGTCCTCAAGAGTAATAAAAAGGTTGTAGTTTGCAAAGAAAACACCTGCAAAGTATTGACCTCTAAAATCTCAAATCTGATTCAGCACCTCACTTTCATCCATTGAACTAATACCTTTCTTTTCTGCAAAGCCCACTCAGCACCCTAAGGAAGTTTTCCCTGAACAAATAATAAATGGGAATGAAATATAGAATAAACCTCTAGATTTAAAAAAAATCAATAGTTCTATAAGGACTTACATTTTTACAAGACGTTTTAGTCTTCAGAACTCCATAAGAGCAAGGGCTGTAAGGTAAAAAAAATGGCTGTTATTAGACAGATGGGAACAATAGTCAATACTAATGATGGTTTTCAGTGAACTAAGAAATATCCAGGTCGTCATTTTCATGAATTGATCAATATTTTAAACTTAAGTGTCTGGGGCTCATAAGGATGGAATCTTATAGGTTTTCCATAATTATCATACAGTAAGACTCAACCAGAGGGATGTAATAAGATTGAGAATGAGAGAACCGAGAGGTCAAAGAGACAGGCCTGGCCTCTTCACAAGTCAGAGAAGAGAAACATTCCCAGGCAAGATGCCATGGTTGAGAACTTGAGAGGTGAAGTCCTCGTGCAAACGCTAAGGAGATATGAAGGAATCTTTGTCCTTACAGACTTCCGGAAATGAGAGAACATCACTTCATAGGATAAAGAAAATATCATCAGTTATTACAATGCATGTTTACCGAGCACTTGGTAAGAGCCAGGCATAGAGCTCAGCACTCCATGTGCATTGTTTCATTTAATTCTCCATGCAACTCCATGGCATGTGGATTGTTATTGTCCCCCTATTAAAGATGAGGAAAATGAGGCTTAGAGAGTTTAATAACGTGTCCAAGTCATAGAGCTAATAAATAACAGATCTTACTTACATTCAATCCCAGGTTTGTCGGGTGGCAATGTCCATGTTCTTAAACCCTGTGGATACCAAGAATGACTCTGATAGGACTGGTCTCTGGTGGACACATCAGGAACAAACCTGTCATACAGGACAATAATATAATTGTGGTCAGTAAAATGGTTTGATTCTACATGTCCTATCTTTGGACTCTTGTCTTTCCTTCCTCAACATCACATTAAATCTATAGGAATGGGTCCTGAAAAGCCCCATTAGATATGTCAGATTTGGGGCGGGGAAGGGGAGGAAATCAATTAATTACATTTGTTAAGCCCCTCCTCTGTCATAGGCATCCTGTTTTCTCAAGAAGTTCACATCTGATAGGAAAATATAGAAACTTAAACTCCAATGATAATTCTGTGAGGTGAGTGCTACGCTAGCGCTAAGGACAGTGAATTACGGGGGCTAACAGAATGGACATAATTTTACTGTACTTGTGCTTAGAAAATTAAAGATCTCAAATTCTTCTTGTCCATTTTAGTTTTACTTATGCCTCAAGGTTATAAGTTATTCTGGCTAACAGAGAAACGGGGAAAAAAGGTTTTATTCAATCTTCATTTTTAAAAAATGTTAAGCCCTAGCCCACATAATTTTCCAAATACTTTCAAGGGCATTTTTCTAGAATCAGGTAAATGAGAGCAAGCAAGTGACCTACTTACAGCAAAAAATGCTCCAGGTTCTAAAGGATGAGAAGCCAAGTGCATCCTGGAAACCACAGCAGCTGGTCTTGCTTTATGCTTCATTTATCAATCTGCTATTACAGGAATTGAGAATTAATATTTCCACTACAGTACTGTTTTGTCTATTTTGGTTAATGAATTCATATCATTGTTATTCTTATCCAATCCCTCTTGCCTCCTCACCCAATTTAAAAAAAAACAAAAAACAAACAAATGGAAGGGCATTTTTGAAGATCCCAAACAAATCGTAGGGAGATTCCTCTTTCATTTATGCCTTAAAACTTTTGTTAATGAGTCTTATAGTAAAGTTAGCTATCTTCCCAAGCAATTCCATTTTGATCAATCCTGACTTTCCACAGATAGTGTCACTTGAACAGTACATTTTTGGTACTGTATTAAAGCTAAATAACAAAATATTGCAGATTTAAAATAAATACATAAGTTCCATAAAATGTCTTTTAGTAGCATAAAGAGTAAAAAAAATGTACAACTGGAAGTAGTGCTTGAGAAAAAGAATTATGTAGCAATATATGATTGTGTATTAGTGTTACCCTGATAACATGAGAAAATTATATATGTACTCATTTTTATACACACTTACTTTAAATTATGTGTAAAGTTTAAAAACAAAAGCATGAAAAGCAGATTTACAACAATATGTTCCTTGAACTACACTGTTGCATCTTTTAGCTGTCTGTGTTTTTTACAGAATGGAGCTGTCAATTCACCTTTCTACTCCTTCCAATCTGTTGAAATTTTAATTTTCCATTATTTTTGCCATGATAGCATCTTAGTCTTTCTATTGGAGATTCAAGCACTCAATCTTAATTTTTCTCAGTGCTTTCATGGCTTTGGGTACAGCTTCATATTCCTGCTTTACTTTTCTTTCTCTACCCATTCTATTTAATTTAACTTGTCAAAATAATAATTAAGATTATTCTTTTCTGATGAAATATTTTAAACAGGACCAAGGTTACCAAGTGATTATTATACTGGCATAATTACTACTGTATAATTTTATCTATATGTTGAAGTTCTACTCTAATTACTGTCATGTGAATCATTTCCAATGAGCAATGAACAGGATCAGGTTTACTGTGTTAACTGATCCAAAAATTTCAGATTTGTTTTTCCTTCCAAAGAGATTTTAGTCCAAGTCATGAGGCTTACTTGCTTTGATTTCTAGATGTATCCCAGCTGGCTTGATGGTTCAGCTGACCAGATAGGCTTTTGGGGAGGGAGCAGTAGAGATTTTTGTTAAAATGTATCTATAATTATCACTGACTAGGGTAGAATTTTTGAAAGTGTGGCACAAAAGTACCTAGATCCAAATCATCTCAGATGCTTATTCACAGTGCAAATCCCTGGGCCAAAACCTAGAGCACTAGACGGGAACCTCTAATGCTGGCACCTGGGAATCTGCATTTTGTCAAGCTGTCCAAGCCTATAGACCCACAGTGAAATTTCAGAATCCCTAATCTAAGGAATTTCTTCCCCTTCAGGGTCCAGTGCATTGATTGACCTTGGCTGTAGAGCAAACTAACCACACCCCCATGCAACTAAACAAAAACAAGAATTCAGTTCCATGTGTGGAGAACAGTCATACACTGTTTTAACAGACTTTGGTTTTAAAAAGAAAAACTTTCTGCACTAAATAATGATTTTTAATATCTTGATTCTAACAATCACAAAGGGAAGGCCCAGAAAGTCTACAGAAAAAAAATCTGTTATAATTTCCTGATTAATATTACACATAATGAATTATTTATTGAGCTCCTACTGTGGGTCAAATATGGTGTTTTGTGCTGCCAGGGATTATATAAAGATATCCTGGGATGAAAAGCATATGTTCAATTCTGCTCTGATCTAAAAGAACCTAGCTGACTTAGTGATTGCTGGAAATGAACATGTATGGTATGTGGGAAGGCAGTAATTTGATGTCTTAGGGCCCAGACATAGGAGGCTTCCTAAGGATTTGTGAAATGAAAATTAGGTCCAAAAGGTAGAAGTCCTTGGTTTAATAGCCAAACTACTGGAAAAAGAACGAGCAGCAGCATTTATTGCGGGGGTGAGGGGGCATGTAGACTCTTTATGGTCAGTCTTGATTATCCAACAATTTCCTTTTCTGTGCAATCATACCCCATTATTAGGCAGATGAATTGAGACTAGCCACAACCATATTGGGAGTTTTGCCTCATTTTTTAACTCATTTAATAGGGTAACCTACTCCTCATGGTTTGTCTGTGACTTTCGCTACTTTAGCATTGAAAGTCCTATGTTCCAGAAACCCCCTAATGTCAGACAAACTGGGTAGGTTGGTCACCCTGGTCCTTAGAGTAAGGCGGGTGAGGTTCGTGGTTGAGCCAGTCTTACGCAATGAATGAAAGTAAATCCATTACCATCTTGAATTTCTCAGCTCATTTTCCTTACCAGTGGGTATGATTACTCTAGCAGGCCACAAAACCTAAAGTTCTTTCCTTCAGTAACCTACTTTTTAGTTGTCAAGGCATGTTCTCATGAGCAAACCAAGCAATGACTCAGATTGAGGATAATCCCAGGGACCCAGTAGAAAATATCTCCCAAGACTCCTATAACTGCTATACACATGGCTTGTGTTTTTTTGTAAATATTATCTGGGTCTCATAATCATCCTGTTCTCAAAATTCTATCTCCCTCTCTAAATAATCAGTCTAGTTCTCTCAAACCTAGTTTCACATCAGTTTTAAAAAAATTATATTATGAATGTAGACACACACATACAGACCAAAAGGCATGGATGTAAAACATGAACCACTTATAGTATTAAATTCCATTCTGATTCTTGTCAATGACTCTAGTCAGGTTTTTAAACATTTATGCATCTTTGTCATTCCATTTTTACCCTTTAAAGCCTTATGATTTTGTCATTTTGTGGTCTTGCCTCTTTCACCTGGATTTTAAAATTTATACAGGATATTTTTTTTTTGTGTATTTAGATTGTGGATGTGAAGCATGTAGAAGCATATTGCCTGACACCTAGGCGACATTCAATAAACTGTAGCTAGTATCCTCACTACAGTATCACCAGCTTGTAACAACAGTAGGATTCACGAAATGCAACAATCAGGCTGCAGAATTTTAGCCATTAAAGATGATGCCTAAAGCAGAGGCACAAAATGCTTTCCCGAGGAGGGGAGGGAGAGAAGCTGTCTCATTACTTCAGTCGGTCTCACCGTCTCTGTCTGAAAGAAGTGATGCCGCTTATACCTGGGCACAGGGTCTAAAGTTGTCTCGCCCCCGGCAGTGTGTTCAGGAGGCACAGGCTTTCAGGTTTGCTCCCTTGGGACCTCTTATGTCACGTCTCTCATTCTGGAAAAGGGAAGGGGGTAAAGAAAAAGGGAAGTCACTGAAATGCAAAACCTGTTACCAGATGCCCATTTTGTCCTGACTACCGGGCCTGCCTGGGTGGGCTGCAGAGTCGTTTCGCTGTAAGATTTTCAGCAGCCACCTCCAGGTGTTTTGTCAGCACAGAGAAAGGGGAGGAGGCTCAGCTCACCCTAGAAACTGAAAGGCAGATGGTGAGGGGTGAGGGGTGGCCATGCACGTCTGCGCTGTGGCTAAAGGACAGAACAGCAGCGTGCGGGTTTGCACCGCGGCTAAGAGGGTGAGGGCCCGGAGTAACGACCAAGCAGGAGTAGGGGAGAGCCGTGCGGGGGACACAGAGCATTTCTTGGTACTCCCAAAAAGGCTCCCCAATTTATCAGTGTTGCGCCCGGAGCCCGCGAGCCCAGGGCGGGGACTTTATGTGACATGCGCCTTCCCCAATTCCACATCTGAGACTGAGCAGCTAAACTCCGAGCCTTAGCGAATGCTGCAGGCAGACACACACACCCCAGCTTCCCAAAAAGCCCCAGCCCAGCAAACAGCAGGTTAAGGACCTGGTGCGCGACGTCGCTCAGGCCCAACCCCCGGACCGTGTCTAAAACCCGGAAACGCGCTGCCTCCTCGAGGACAGTCGCGAGGTGCACATGCGCGGTGTTAGGGGGCGACTCCCGCCGGAAGTGCTCTGTCCCAGGCGGCGTATCCTTCCTGTGTGAGGCTGGCTCAGGGTACCTGCTGCTGCTGCTGCTGCTGCTGCTGTTTCTGCACCGGGGTGAGTAGCTGGTTCCCGCGGAGCCTCGTGGGACGGGCGCCGGATCCCATTGGGATCCCACTGAGCTCCTCTAGGGCCGGGCTGGGAACTGGCTAGCAGGAAAGGTCACCTCCCCTCCCTCCCACGCCCTACTTCAGTCCCGCCCCCCAGCTTCCCCCGGCCCGTGGTATCTAGCGGATTAACCTCCAAGGGCGTCACAGGCCTCGCTTGGCTACCGGCCCGGTCTAGGCCCTTCGATCTCTGTTAGCGTTGTCCCCAAGAGTTTTGCCATTTCCTACAGGGAATCTCTGCAGGCAGCCGGGTCACTGCTTGGGCTTTGGGTGGTCCCAGGCGACCTCAGAACCGGGATCCTAGGCAAAGGCAACCGTAATGAACCGGGTCTGATTGTCGCACAGGCACTGCTACCACCTAGTGCAAAAGCGGAGGTGGTTCTTCAGGCCTGGACACACTTTCGCAGAGGATGGTGATGTTAATTATAACCTGTCCTTTATGTGAAGGTTGGCAGTCTTTCATTGTCATAGGCTGTGTGCATAGGACTTCGATGTCTGCGAAACTGGGACTTTGGGGTTGAGAAAAACTTTGTAGAGACACTGCAGTGTATCAGGGGAGAAATATAGTGTGAACATAATGCTCTCGGTCCTTAACCTGTCAGTAAATGGCTGATTGACGAGGTAGTACGGTTTCAAAGTTGTCTAGCCTGGAATGGAGAACTCTTGAAAATGAAACTATCTGGCATCATATAACAAATAACTTAAAAAATAACTCTGAATTATGGTTTTGTGATATTTCTTAGCTGTATATAGCACCATCTATGTTTATGTACCTACATGTTTTTATTGTTGTGTATATTTTGTTGGTCCTGTTTGTACAAGATTGAAATACATTCCCTACTGTTATATGCACATATAGCTTTTATTGTATATTCTATAATGGTACTGTTACTGTAACGACCTTACACTGCAGCTATACCAATCTCATATGAATGAGAGATGAGTGTACAATAAAGGATATACAGTTACAACCTACAAGTAGAAGTTTCAGTTTCATTTCAGGATTTTGAGGTCGTTTAAAAGAAGAAATACTGGTTTAGAAGTGGCCATAGGCCTAGAGTACTGTATTACTGTTAACAATTTAAGTATAGGAAAATACATAGTCAATAGAGGTTTTGTGTCTTGATATTTTTTATAGGATTAAAATTGTTACCTTCCCTGGGATGTACTGATAACAGCGCTAGGTGTTCATGTAGTTCAGTAAACATCCAGTAGGTGGCAGTTTTATCACTACTAACTCAAACTTTGAATAAGTGAAAACGTTTTATTAGAATATCTCTAGTTTTCACAGATTGTTACGTTAATAAACCCTTATTTTGCCTACTGTTTTATTTTCATCAATGAATAATACCCCCACATAATACCACACATTCCAACGGCATTTTCAAATTTACTCCTGGAATAAAGGCTAGAGAAGTCAATTTTTCACATCATATGAGAAGTGTGATATTGTTAACCCATTTTTAGGAATCCATGCTAATGGAAGAAAGAACACCTTGATTTTCTTTTTTTTTTTAATATGAGAAGAGATTTTTTTTTTTAAGATTTTATTGGGGAATTGGGGGAAGGGAACAGCGTTGGGGGAATCAGGGAAGGGGAATAGACAAATTGCTGTCCTTTTGTTCTTCAGTCTAGTTGTGGAGGATGTCACTTCACTGGCCCATGTTGATATTATCATTTCGCTCTTCCCGGATGAGACAGTCACTCGCCAGCCATTAGATGGCCACTCACGCTGGCTGCTGGCCGCTCACAGTAGCTCATGGCAGCCCACTGCAGCAGTGGTTGCAGCCTATGCTGGTGCCAGTGACTCATGGCAGCCCAGCTCCAGGTTGAGCTGTCGTTCACCATCTTAGCTGTAGAGGGTGCAGCATCACTGGCCCTCATGTGGGATCCAAACCGAGGCCCTGCTACTCAGAGCTGGCGTCCCAAGCCAACTCTTAACCAACGTGCCACTCAGCTGGCCCGAGAAGAGATTTTAATTAGGTGGCCTCTCCTCCCTAGCTCCATTTTTAAAAATATAATGAATATAATAACCGGAGTGTACATTCCTTGAGTAAAGTAATTGTAGTTTAGCCATTATTGTATACCCAATATATAGTTAGCATTATATATACATGTTTAATAGGTGCTTTATTGTGTGAATTAAATTATTTAATGCTCCTAGGCCAAAGTTTTTTCATAGTTAGCATTATACATACATATTTAATAGGTACTTTATTGTGTGAATTTAATCACTTAATGTTCCTAGGCCAAAATTTTTTCACCCTAATGAAGGCTTTCAATCATTTAGCTAAGTTCAAATTAAATAATGTACTATCATGAAATGAATGGCTTCTAGTAATGAGAAATAAAGTCAATGGAACTCTTGACTTTTTTTTTGGAAATTGTTCAAAAATCTGGCAGCAAGTCTGTTGGAATGATTGAATGGGAGGTTTTTCTGCAGTGGAAATTTATCTGTTGACCAAATAATTTATTGAATAGCTTCTCTTTTGTATGTGACAATTATAAAAATAGATAAGATATAAACCCTGTTTATAAGGATTTAAACTCTAATTTAGTAGAATAGATATCACATAAGTTCAATAATAGGGCCAAATGAATAATACAGAGGATTAATGTGACATGAAAGCCTTCATGGCACCTGTGAAATTTTTGGAGTTTGGATAGAATTTGACTAAACCTAGATGAATGGGGAGAAATGACCCATCCAGGGTACCAGGCAAATATACTGGAGGGAAAATATGCATGGCGTTTTCAGATCTTAGTAACTCCAGCAATTGAGTGTTCCTATTGAGAAATGGTGAGAAGTAAAATGCTTAAAAGTTACTCTTTGGGGCTATATTAGGATAGTCTTGAATAATTGGGAATCCTGTAAATAAAGAGAAAGACCTGGGGTCTTTTTATTAGGGAAGAGTATGTACTCTTGAATAGAGGGGAGGTATCTAAGAATTTAAAAATTATTGGGGCTATTCCAAAGGGAGGGAAGTAAAGAGGATCTTTGAGTAGCAATAGTAGTAAGAAGGGAAACAATAATTTTAGAGCTGGAACAACCATAGATGTTAATCTGTGCAGTGTCTAATTTTTACCTTTTGCTGAGCTATCTGTATAAATTTTGATTTATTCTTTTTCACATGAGTGCACAATATATATTCTTCCCCCCCCACACCCCATGTCACATAGCACTCAGTACAGTCCTGTGCTATGAGAGTATAAAGCATTGTTGAAGCTGAGACCCTACCCTCCAAAATATGACAGTCACTTTATCCCACCAAGCCTATTCGTCTGGATAGTCATTGCCTTTGACAGGGGTGTGCATGCCTCCTGTAAGCCTAGCTGCGATTGATGTAGCTGCTCAGGGATGTAGCTAATAGTAGGCACATTGCTTCCTTTATCCTCTCCATCTTGGGTGCATGCTGTGTTCTTGTGGTTTATAAATTTTTCAAAATTCTGTTGCTTCAGATTTAGCTGAGTTGTGGAAACAATAGTATGGCTAAAAAAATTTAATGTCATTTACTAAGAAAATGACATGTTTAAATTTAAGCAAGCCTTGAAAACCTTTAAAAGTAAGTATGAGGAGGGCCAGCCGAGTGGCGCGATGGTTAAGAACTGGCTTGGGACACCAGAGGGCCCTGGTTCGGATCCCACATGTGAGGGCCAGTGACACTGCCCTCTACAGCTAAGATGCTGAACAACAGCTCAACTTGGAGCTGGGCTGCCGTGAGTCGCTGGTGACAGCGTAGGCTGCAGCCCCTGGTGCAGTGGGTTGCCATGGGCTACCGTGTGTAGCCCGCAGCCAGCGTGAGCAGCCATCCAGAAACCGGTGACTGATCTGCCTCGCCCAGGAAGAGCACAATGATGGTGCCAACTTGGGCCAGTGAAGCAACATCCTCCACAACTAGACTGAAGAACAAAAAGACAGCAACTTGTCTGTTCCCCTTCCCCCAGTTCCCCAGCACTGTTCCCATCCCCCAATTCACCAATAAAAATCTTTAAATAAAATAAAATAAAATTTAAAAAAAAGTAAGTATAAGGAAAAAGTGACTCAGTTCACAGTTTAAAATTTCACTCAAAAATTACCTGGTTTACACTCTACTTAACAGAAGAAAAAAAAATTTTTTTTTTAACTGAGCCATCCTGCCACCTGTTGGCAGCTCAGCTCAGGCCGTGAATCGAACCAGCGACCCTGTTGCTCAGAGCTCGCACTCTTTTTTTTTTTTAAGATTTTATTGGGGAATTGGGGGGAGGGGAACAGCATTGGGGAATCAGGTAAGGGGAACAGACAAGTTGCTGTCTTTTTGTTCTTCAGTCTAGTTGTGGAGGACGTTGCTTCACTGGCCCATGTTGGTATTATCATTGCACTCTTCCCAGGTGAGGCAGATTGGTCGCTGGCCACTGGACAGCCACTCATGGGAGCCCACTGTAGCCCATGCTGTCGCCAGCGACTCACGGCGGCCCAGCTCCAGGTTGAGCTGTTGTTCACCATCCTAGCTGTAGAGGGCGCAGTGTCACTGGCCCTAATGTGGGATCCGAACCGCAGTTCTGCTGCTCAGAGCTGCCGTCCCAGCCCAACTCAACCAATGCACCACTTGGCCAGCCCAGAGCTCGCATTCTTGAGGGAGCTCTTAACCAACTGAGCCACTCGGCCAGCCCAATAGAAGAAATTCTTAGCGTCATATTAGTGAAGTATTTCATTGTTGGGCTGCCTTTCTTCAGGTGGATTAATGATATAGTGATTTTTTTAGACTCTGAAATAGTTATTTTAAAGCTGTTTCAAGAGTTAAATACCTTATGCTATTGCCGCCCATGCACCTCGCTGCTCATCTACTCACTGCCTCACCTGGTTGGCAGGGGGCAGCATGTGGGCTCTCAGAAACTGCAGCACCTCCTGGATCCTTCTTCAGTTTCTCCAGGTCCTATGCCAGATTGGGGTTAGCTCAGGAATTCGCAATTTTGGACCACGAATCCTCTAAATAAAGTTTTATCATAACAACCAAAATAAATACCTTAAAATGTTGATTGTATTTTTCAAATAGAATTATCTCCATTTAAATTATATGAGCTTAAGAAAGTTCATTAAAACTTCTAATAAATAAATCTATTTCTAATAGGTTTCTTCAGTTGCCAAGGGGAGCTTAAAATGTGTTTGTTTACTTAACATCTAAAAACCCATTTATCCTTAAAGACTTTTTTAAGGTAGGTAATAAGGTCAAATTTGATTAGAAGTTAGTTTTTGTTGCTTAATTTAAGGTATTTATCAGTCTCCCAACTTTAATGAATCTAGTTATTACCTAGTGATGTGTCTGTTTGTTTTTTAAGGTTAACAATCAAGATGGTACATGCTGAAGCCTTTTCTCGTCCCTTGAGTCGGAATGAAGTTGTTGGTTTAATTTTCCGTTTGACAATATTTGGTGCAGTAACATACTTTACAATCAAATGGATGGTAGATGCTATTGATCCAACCAGAAAGCAAAAAGTAGAAGCTCAGAAACAGGTATGATTAAAATGTTTAAGGATCATTTTTCTTATAGTTAGTAAATTTTTTCCCGTAAAACTAAGGACATAGTAGAATTATAAGTTAATGAGAAAATCTGTAAGACCCACATGAAAATGTTTTTCTGTCATATTTAATTTCATTGTTCCCAAAAGTATTTGTTTCTTTAACTCTTTTGACTATTGTAGCAACTTAGAAGAAAAAATGATAAAAAATAAAAATATTATAGTATTTTGTTGTGAACATCCTCATTAGACTATTTTTGTCAGCTTATAACTGAAGGACTCTAGGTAAAATTTTTCAGTAGATTAAACAAAATTTATCTTCAGTAATGATACACATTATGCTCTGTGTGACATTTGAAATGTGGATAATACTGATAAGCTGTCAGTCTTAGACTTAAAAACTACATTAATTTCTGATTAAGGAATTGTTAAAAAATGTTACTGTTAATATAATTTGTAGTTTTATTTTTCAACTACTGTCTCTTGTGATCATTTCCTTATTAGGATGATATAATTGTTTTGGTTCTTATTTAAAAAACAAGACTTCAAGAAGTCTTTCAATTTTTTCTTGCTGTTTGAGGGCAAGATGTTTATATTCATGGATATTCAGATTTCTTCTGTGAGTTGTGACTCTGATGCATTTAGTAAATATTTATTGAGCTCCTAGCATATGCTTGGAACCAAGGATAAAAGATGAATAAAACTTGTTTTTCAAATTCTGTAGGCTACTGTGAAAAATTGGGATATAAAGAAATGGCTGCTTCACTGTGTTATGCCTGGCTCTTAAATCAGTGAAAGCCGCAGTTTCATAAATACTGCTTACTGTATATATCTGAAAAGCAATTTGGACACTTGTGAATTTGTTCCTTGAATTTCATTATAAAATAATTCACTCAAGGCCTAGATTATATCATCGTATCAGTCAATTCATAGCTCTCTACTAAGTCTGACCAATGTAGATTTTTTTTAAAAATGAATTTCAGTATACCCACATGTCAGCCTAAGTGCAGTTTCCCACCCTCCCCTGAATCGTGAAAGTCAGTTTAAATCTGAGGTCAAAATATTGATGTCATAGTATTTTAAAACCTTTTAAAAGTAGAGATGTGACTTTTAAACAGAACTTTGTCATTTATTTTTTTAGCTTCTAAGATCCCCTAGAATACACATATGGAAGACATGTAGATAGCCAAATACGTATAGGTATTTAAGTAATACACGGATAGATTGTTACCACTAAACCTTGAAAACTATATGTAGAGTGTGGTTCAAAGCATCAGATATGTGAAGTATTAGACACCACATCAGTTCTCATAGTGCCCATGGTAGGAAGAAAAGGCTTGTCCATGATAATATAAATTATAATCATAATTAGATTATTCCGATCTTTTTTTTTATAGAAGCAAGATCTTTTTTTTATAGACTGCTCTAGTCCTGGCAAAAACCTAGACAGAGGAAGGGGATGATAAAAGGAATGGAATAGGTGAAGTAAAATAATAATGAATTCTGGAAGGACTTTCATGATAAGGGAAAAAGGACATCTTACAAATGAATCCAAGATATATCTGGAGTCCTCAAAGACTCATAGTATCTTCATGAAGGTTCAGAAACTGGTACATAGGGCAAGTGTATGGGAAGATGACATTTGATTAGGGCATCATACCCAGTAACTTTCAGAATATATGGTAAAATTGGAAGAAAGAGATGTGAGTGCACTAACCCCAAAAGAGAAGATAACCATCTCTGTATATCTAAAAAGGGTTATTTTCTAGAATTTTAATGTATGCTTGTGATAAGGGCTTCTTATACTTAACATACAAAGTTAAAACTCAAACTCTTTGCTATTTTCTACTTAAATACATTTTTAAACCCTTTCCGTAAGTGAATTTCTCTATTTACATTTAAATTGGAGAACTTTAGCTGTGACCTCAGTGAAAGGTTTTTAACCTACGTTTAAATAGGTCATCTCTGTGTTTTTACTCTTAACTTGTTAATGTCATCTCCCAACTTTCTAAAATTATTTTTTCAAAAGGACAATCAATTATATAAATCTTTTAGAACCTGAATAAAATGAGTCTTTTCCCCTGCTTCTTTTCTCCATTTCCTCCTTATCCAGGCTAGGCAAAAATACTAGTTTACTATTTTCCACCCCACTTCTTAATTTTTTAAATTATACTTCACATGGAGAAAAATGAAGTAGCATGAAAGGATAAAAAATATTATGAAACAGTTAAAAAGATAGGTACGCAGTCAAATGTAAGTTTCCCTCCTACCTCTGACGCCCCTCACCCCTTGGACCACTGTTTTTTTCTCCACAGAGACAACAGCTGCTTGAAGAGACCCACTTTAAAAACCAAACAAATGTTAGTGACTAGAAAATATATTGTAATTGTCATTAAGCTGTAAACCATAAACCAATACATGAATATAAGCCATTTTTAGAGTAGTCCAATCATAATTTTGTTTTTCTAGTTAAAACATTATAGAAAATAGGAGCTCAGTTAAAGGTGTCAAAGCTAGACAGTTAGATAATTTATTATCAGAACACAGTTTAGTGGTAGTGTGGTGTTTTGGGTGCTTTCTTTTCATTTGATTGTTAACCATGTTCTGCTTTCCCAAATAAGGAATAGTAGTGTTTCAGCTTTCAAATTAGACAAATCAGGGTTTGAGCTCTGGTAGTACCAATTCCTACCTGTGTATCTTGGCAGTTCTTATCTCTTTGACCTCTGAGTTCCTCATTTGAGAAATGAGAATAATAACTACACAGGATGGTTTAAAGGATTGATAGTAAAGTACCTAGCACAGTCCCAGCCATGTGATAGATGCTCAGTAAATGTTAATTTCTTTTCTCTTCAATGTTAGTGCAACCTGGAGACATTATTAAATGGGACTGCTGTGGTGGGAAAAAAGATTCTAGGTAAACGTGAACATAACATTTCTGTCTCTATAAAGTAAACAACATAGCTGATAATTTTTGTTTTTAGGAAACCCCAGATACAAATAAAGGTTGTTGTTATTTAAAGCAAGAGGCAATTTTAGCCTACAGTAAAATTTTAAGGGCAATTAGCTAATGAGGAAAAAGACAGGATTTCACAACTTGGCACTAATGACATTTGGGGGTGGGGGTTGGGACAGGCTATCCTGTACCTTCTAGAATGTTTAGCAGCATCCTTGTCTCTGCCAACTAGATACCAGTAGCACCTTTACCCCTCACCCAAGTTGTGACAACCAAAACTATTTCTAAATTCTGCCAAATGTTCCCTGAGGGCCCAAATCACCCCCTTTTGAGAATTGCTGTTTTATAGCATGGTCTAAAAAGAACACAGGTGGGATGGCTTCACATTTATAAAAGCCTTAGTGAAAAAGAAGAATTAAATTAATCTTATTACAGATACTAAAATAGGATACCTTTCATAGCTGGCACATAAAAGATTTAAAGATAGTGACAGAGAAGAATTTACAAGAAAGGTAAAAGGACCTGGGAAAGGCAACTTTATCCATCAATTCAGTAATTTTACAGGGGGATGGCTAAATAGGAAAAATGATGTGGTTCATATCACTTTTTTAAAAATGCTGTATTAGTAGGATATGGTCAACACACATTATCCTAGTCCTTTAACCAGTCTAAAACTATATTGCTGTGTGATGGATGTGACTTTTCTTTTAGAGCAGCAATACCCTTGACAAACAGCAAGATTTTATATCATCAAAAGTATTTTAGGAAACTATAACAATATGTAGGTATTTTTTGAGCAGGGGTGATGTATAATAAAACAAAACAAACAAAAATTAGGTAAATATGATTTACCAGTGCATCTTCATTTCTAAAAATGTTCACATAATTGAAATTTGAGTATGTATTCTATAGATTTTTAAAGACTCTCTAGTGGTCACAAACTCCTGTCTTATAATTGGAGAAATGAAGGTAGTGTATCCGGTGGTTAGAGTGTGGGCTGCAGAGTTGGACTGCCTGGATTCCTGTATTTCCTCTTCCATTTGCTAACTTTTAACCGAAGGCAAATTACTTAGTCTGAGCTAAGCTTCGGTTTCTTTTTCCATGATAGGGAAAAACTGTACCTATTTCATAGGATCACTCTGAGGATTCAATGAGTTAATCCATTTACAGTATTTTGGCATAATATTTGGCACACTCAGTAAATATTTATCATTTTTATTTTGGTTGATAGCTTTGTTGTATTGTTAAGAGCTTATAAGTTTAAGGCTAGTTTTGCCAAGCTCTGAGAAATATATGCAAGTATTCTTCTAATTCGGAATTATTTTTATCATATCTGGTTGCCTAGCCCCAGGAATTGACTTTAAAAGGGACAGCCTCTCAGAACAATTTGAAATGAGATAGATATGAACACCTGTTGGGGAGATCTGAGTATTTGAAGAAAGCTAGGCACCTATTTTCAGATACTCTGTGAATGTAAGGAAGGAAATTCCTACTGTCTATTTCTTGATAGTCTTAATTCCTCATTCTTTCATCCTGAGGTTTCACCTGCTTCTGTCACAATCATCCTACTAGGAAAGAGAAACGTGTTGGACCCTAGAGTCTCACTGGAGCAATGGGAGGCCCTGTATCTTCAGTCATGTACCCTGTTTTCTCATTTCCCCTCATTTCCCAGGAGCTGGTGTAAATTGCCCTGCTTTCTGTGGGGTAGATCCTCAAAGTTTTCTTTACCGAAGGGCTTAGAATGGGAAGGATGAGATCAAGGGCCCTAGAACATCCCTGGAAGATCCTTGTATGTCTGTTCATTGCTTTTTAGACTGCACAGACACCTGTTTTGAAGTGCCAATGTCTAAATATCAAACTAAAGGAGGTTGCTTGTTTTTTCTTTCTAGGCAGAAAAATTAATGAAGCAAATTGGTGTGAAAAATGTGAAGCTTTCAGAATACGAAATGAGTATTGCTGCTCATCTCGTAGACCCTCTTAACATGCATGTATGTATTGTTAATCTTACTCAAGATTTTTTTTTTGTCCTGCATTTTGTGTCAAGGATCCCAGAGACCACAGCCAGGTTTGAGGATTCCAGAAGGAATCATAGCATTCAGCACAGTGGTACTTACGGATATGATTTATTACAGCCAGAGGATACAAGGCAAAATCAATAAGGGAAGAGGGTCATGGGATGAAGTCTGGAGGAAATCGGGCACAAGCTTCCAAGCCTTCTCCCCGCGAAGTCACACAGGATATGTTTGATTCCTCCAGCAACACGTTATTGAGAAACATGTAAAATGTCATCCACCAGGGAAGCTCATTAGAGACTTTATGCCTAGGGTTTTAATTGATGCTGGTCATGTAGACTTTGTCTTCCTAACATCTACGGAAATTTTAGACTCCCAGGAGGAAAACAGGTATCCACCACAAACTGTATTGTTTACACCAACAGTTTAAGCACAGTGAGCTGTTCTTATCAGGGAATGACGGGAATCCCCTGAACCCTAGTTTCCATATTCCACCCAGGGGCCAGCCTTGCAGGCAGGTCTTTCTAAGGATAATAGTCTTAGGCCTGTTATGTTAACATACTTTTGTGCACATTTACTTAGTTAAACTTGTACTTTTATATATTCACCTTTTGCTTATAAAATGTACTGCTTTAAGTCATGTGGATATTCGATTTGGAGTTTAAATCTAGATTTTTATAAAGTTTTGTAGACGATGCAAGATTCTGAATCCCAGTTTTTCTATTCATGGCCGTGGCAAACTATTTCCTCTTTGAGTCACAGATCCCTGATGTATAATCCAGGGACAATGTAATACCTACTCTACCTGTTTTAAAAGGGTTATTTTGAGGATCAGATTAATGCAATAAATAAACTCTAAAATCGTATGTGAATATTTTGTAACAACAGGTATAAATAAATTAATAGAATACAATATTCTACCCCTACCCCCAAATCTAAAAAGTAAAAATCTACAATGTCTTTTAATATCTGTGTGCAGAGAGACATATATTTATCCCCCAGAATTAATCCGCTATTTGAATTTGACTTATAAATTTACAGTGGTACTTTCTACCTTACCTATATTTGCTTCTGAGTAAAGCTGTACTAACAGACTCAGTTTTTTGTTATAGCTACAGTGAAAGTAGATGAGTTTTATAGATTTGGCTGTGGTTTTTGGTTTTTCACTTTTCTTTAAGTTGTTAAGAAGGTAAATCTACTGTAAATATTGCTTCTGACTGACCCTACCTTCAGCCCCTTTACTCTGCAATATTAGAGCTAGGTTGTTTGGGTTTTTTTTAAGGTCTTTTTCAGTTTATTTCAAAAAAAATTTTTTTTAGGTTGAGTCAGAAGGCTTTGAAATACACAAGCATCATCTATTTTGAAAGCGTTTACCCCCTATTTACTATTTATAAAGACAAAAATTTTAACGCAGTTTTACTTTTGATTAATACCATTCAGAAGTCAGTTTGGTGAGTATAGAGCTTATTTCTAAAATTCATCCCTGTAAATGCTTGACAGCATCATATATGAATTAGGCAACTTCTGGTGAGCTGGCTCTTCCCAATGAGCCAGTGCTGAATTATCTGAGCTGGTTCTCAGTCTTCTTGGCAGAGTTATGTCCCTGTGTTAAATGGACCGAATTCAGCTCATTAGAGCTGAGTTTTGAGTGTTGGACCTATTGCTTTTTTTTCTTATAGTACTAGATAGTTGACTATTAAATTGCTTTTGCAGTTTCATAGTTTAATAATTTCATTTTTGCTGTAAAAAGTCTTTACTCACATTAATATGTAATTTTAATCTTTTATTATCTATGTAATTATCAGATTAAGGTTTGCTGTTTTGTTGGGATTTTTGGGTACTCTAGTGAGTATACATCGTTGTAAAATTCATGTTGACGTTCCCTTTTTACTAGGTTACTTGGAGTGATATCGCAGGTTTAGATGATGTCATTACGGATCTGAAAGACACAGTCATCTTACCTATCAAAAAGAAGCATTTGTTTGAAAATTCCAGGCTTCTGCAGCCCCCAAAGGGTATGGTAAAAGTTTACATTTGCTACAGCGTTAAAAATCTTGGAAACTTTCTGTCATTATTGAGCAGGTGTTTTTGAAGTTGGATTTTCCAATGAACTGTCTTATAAATAACACTTTGTCCTTTTGGCTAAAACGAAAGTCTCTGAGCAACAGCAAAACAGTGTTTTCTACAATCTGTTTTGAAGAAGTTGATTTTCTTTGCGCTGCTCTCTGCTCTGAACAAAGACTATGGTTCCTTCCTTTTCTGCCATTAAAGATTAATAAAAACAAACGAATATTGAAAAATTTTAGTACGGTCAAAATTAATATGTTGATTATCACATAAGCTAAAGCAATTATCTTGTTCTCTTAAAGGAAATACTAAAATAACTTGTTAATTTCCAGGTGTTCTTCTCTATGGGCCTCCAGGCTGTGGTAAAACGTTGATTGCCAAGGCTACAGCCAAAGAAGCAGGTTGTCGATTTATTAACCTTCAGCCTTCAACACTGACAGATAAGTGGTATGGAGAATCTCAGAAATTAGCTGCTGCTGTGTTTTCTCTTGCCATAAAGCTACAGCCTTCCATCATCTTTATAGATGAAATAGGTATGCTATATTTTCTATGGGAGCATTTTAAAAATGCCATTTTTAAGGGTGGTATGATTATTTAGATGACCGGATTGAGTTCTTAAGATTTTTGAGGCTAAATTAATAAGACAAGAGAGATAACCAACTTACTAATATGCTGTGTATAATTTGTGTTGCAGAGTGAGTCTGTTCATTAGCCTACTTGACAGTTTTTTCTGTGTTTTCCCTCTTAAAACAATGCAGTAGACATCCATGTCCATGTTTCCTCGCACACATTTTCTAGGGCAGATACCTGGAAGTTGAGCAATTAGGTTAGTTGTGTGCTGTGTCCATGTTCCACCTCACTGGGATTACCAGTTCTTCAAAGTGCTTATACTTCTTTTCACTCTCATTAGTGTGTAGTTTGTTTTCCTACATACTCCTTAAAATTTACCTTTTCAGACATTATTGTTAAGTTTTGCCAATTTAAAAAACATGAATTATCTCATCATTATTTTAATTTGGGTTTCCCGCTTACTGGTAAATTTGGGCATCTTTTAACATTTTGATTAGTCACTTGAGTCTCCTTGCTTGTAAATTGTCAGTTTTTTTGCTGAGGGAGTTATTTGCATTTTTCTTGCTAATTTTTTGTTGATGTTTATTATGATTGCAGATATTTTCTAGACCAGCTTGTCTTTTTACTGTGATAGTTTCTTTTCACAGATTTAAATTTAAATGTAGTTATATTTATCAGTCTTTTTTCTTTATGATTTATGCTTTTTGTATCTGGTTTAAAAATCCCTTCACTACTTTCATAAATATTCTCCTTTTCTAACATATAGCGTGAAGTAGGATTCTAATGTCATTATTTTCCATATGGAAAACCAACTTAGAAAATAAATCATCTTTCCCTATATGTCATGACTTTTAGTAGTGGACTTTTTCTATATTTTATGGATCATCAATATTTTTCTGTTCCTAGTGCAATGTTATATATATAATAAAGGGATAGTAATTAAAACTATATCTTTGAATTAATTATACTGTTATAACTATATGTAAGATGATAGGCTATATAGAAATGTGGAGAAAGATCTAGATAATATAGTACTTTGATTACTTGTTTGCCTTGGGTATCTTATCAATTTACTCCAACTGTTTTTGGGTTTTTGGTGTGCATTTTGCACAAAATAACTTATAGCTGGATTTTTGAAATTTTAATCTAAGACTCACTGGGAAATGTGGTAGTTTCCCTTAATTTTGATAACCGATATATTTAGATTTATTTCTGCCACATAACTGTGAGCTTTTTATTTACCAATCTAGTGAACTGTTTTGCTTTCTTTATCCCCTGTTTGCTTCTGCAGGTTTAGAAGTTGTATATTCTTTTTCTCTTAGTGAAATATTTAGCATACCTGCTTGTCTTAGTCTAGGCTAATCATTTCTGCCTTCCTACCAAATAACTCAGGAACATTAGAACTCTTGAATACTAATCATTCCCCTCACCTCTTACATGTTGTTAACTAACATTTTTCTTGTTTTATGTCCTCCATATTTGTTGCTATGTTTATACCGGCAGTGCTTGTTTAGAGACCCATCTTTGCCAGTTTTTTTGCTCACTGTTACTGCTTGCATCTGCCTTTTCTGTGGATTTAATTTTCTTCTTACCCAAGTCTGCTAAAGTTCTTTCAGCAAAGATTGTAAATTATGTCTTTCTGTAAAAATGTATTCATTCTACCTTCACTCTTAAATGGTACAGAATTCTTTTCCTACAGCGTTTTGAAGCTACAAAGTACATTGCCTTCCCAACTTCCTTGTTGCTTTTGAGAATTCTGCTTGTAGCCTACTATTTTTTGTAAGTAATATCTTCTCTCTCTCATTGCTATTACATTTTGATCTTCTGCTTTTTGGTTGTCATTTTTCTAGGTCTACATTTATTTTTTTATATATCCTCTTAAGACTGGTTTTTAATGTGAGGATTCGTTAATTCTAGAAAATTTCTCACTATGTATCTTTGGATATTACAAGACTTTCCTTCTATAAAAAAAGCTTTCTACTTAATTTTGAGTAATTGCTACAGTTTTATCATCTAATTTTCTTCCATATTTCGTCAGTTCTATAGCATCCTGTTTTTGTTTTCTACATTTGAACATCCCTGAAATTGGGATAGCTTGTTATAATTTAATTGGCTGAGTTTTTTCTTTTAGCATCATAATTTAATTGGCAGTATGTTAAGTTTTTTATTGGCACATAAAATAATGGTGCAACTCAAAAGTCAAATCTTTGAGCTATAAAAAGCAATTTTTTGCTTGGCTGTGTTTAATCTCACAACCATTGGGTTTGTATTTTGTTGATTATATTTGAACTTTAGAAGTTCGATTTGATTCTTTTTCAAATTTATCTTTTTTCACTGTAGCTTGCTCTTTTGTTAGGATTTTAGTCCCTTTTATGTCTTCAAAATTTTAAACATACTGTTTTTATATAGTTGCTTTTAGATTTTCTGTTGTCAGAAATTCTAATTATCCTTTATATGCTTAATTCTTCTTCATTGTAATTTACTTCCTTGTGTATCTCTAACTTTATTTTATTTTATTTTTTTTTAAGATTTTTTTTTATTGGGGAATTGGGGGGATGGGAACAGTGCTGGGGAATTGGGGGAAGAGGAACAGACAAGTTGCTGTCGTTTTTTGTTCTTCA